CCCCCCCCCCCCCCCCCCCCCCCCCCCCCCTTCTTTTTTGGGAGTGGGATGGGGGAGCCTGACCCCCGCCCAGCGGCATTTGTCACGTTTGGGCTCTGCACGCAGCTACTCTCCGCGCCTTTTGTTCCCCGCACTGCTGGCTAAGCAGGGATTTCAGATGTTCCATTAACATTTGAACCGCCTCTGCACATTTTTACATTTCTCATCAGTGGCCAGGATCTCCCTCGACCCCTCCCATCCCCTTCCCCCGTGGAGTCCCTCCTAACCTCAGACCTGCCCCCCTCCCCCTGTGAGACACCCCTGGTTCGCTCACGGCTCCCTGCTACTTTTAAGGCAGATTCCCTCCGCCTCCCAGAGACGCATTAAGTTATGAGCCCCCCATGCCTGTTTGCTTGAAGTGTGCTGCCCCCGTCCCACCTGATGTGCCCAGCATTGCCCCACACACCCGGCAGCTTGTCATGGAGCTGGATACAGCATCAGCACCCCAGCGAATCACTTTGCTCGGCCGCTAACTAGGCCGCAAGTCTGTCAGGCTGGATCTGCACGTGGGCCCCTCCCTGACCGATATGGGTGCTGCTCCCATGAGACTCTGTCCGCCGGTCAGTCCTGGGTCCCTGTGGGACCACGTCTGTGCCATGCTCCACATTTTCATATGTTCTCCAAGCATCTCATTGGTTTTGTTCATGCTGGATGGCTTCAGTCACCCCGGCGTGTTTCCATTACAGCTGTTTTATGGGTTACCATGGGAATCGCCAGTGACACGGCTGTTGGCTGGCGGTGTTTGTTTGTAGTGAATGTCTCAGCGTTACTCTTAACAGCAGCTGCTGGCCCTGGGCCTGACAAAAAAAGCCTCATTGTTTTGCTCTTAAAGGGAACTTCACCTTAAAGTGACAGCGAGGTGGACTTTCATCAGAGGGCTCCAGTGTCGCACACCTTTGGGAAATCCTCCCTCGGTACATCAGGGGGTGTCCCTTATCCTGTTGTATTATTCTTGAGAGGAACCCTCAACCTGAGCCTGTGGCTCAAGCCACACAACCGGGTCCACTGTCCGGTTTTCCAGCTCTCCTCTATACAGCGACTGCGCCAAGTCCAGTGGTCGCCAGGGAGACGGGCCGCTGTTTTGGGCCGGCTGAGGAAAAACAGCTGTGTAAATATACATGGTGGTGGTGTGGGGGCTAATAACACAGATGTTAGGCAGGTAGAAAGAACAGGCCTGAAAGGGGCGGAGTCAGGTGATCCGGGGGGAGGAATGTGGATGTGGAATGTTCCAAGGTGGGAATCTCTTGGGGGTGCAGGCCTGGAAGCGACTACACTCAGGTGATCTGCCATCATCAGGCAGGCAGCTCTGTGTATGGGAGTGGTGGCGGAGGCTGGGGGGGGTGGGAGAGGATTATAAACCCTAATCCAAAGTGTTTACGTTCCCATCAGATCTGGAAGCTTTCAGAAAGGTGATAAGAAGGCGGTCGCCTGTTGGCCTGTTGGCCTGCTCGCTCTCATGTGCTGCCACTCCCTCACCTGCTCAGGTGCTGCGATGTGACATGCTGATCCTTCAGATACTCTTCTAAGTAAAACAAAGAACTCCATTTGTGACCCCCCCCCCCCCCTCACTCCTGCTTGGCACGGCTGAGGAGAGTTTAACTGCCCATTTCTCTTAGAAAATGTGTGGCTGTGGCAGATAACATGTAAGCAGGCACAGGATTATGTAATGACCATAAATCTGTTTCTCAGAAGGAAACCGAACCCTGAGGTGTCTTCAAAGGTCCGGGTTGGACGTGGAGGAACTCCAAGCTGAGGCGGGTATGGCCCCCAGAATGGCGGGTCATTGGATGGTGGGCAGCGGCAGCGGTTGGGGGGGGGGGGGGGGGAGCACACTCTGATTGGTTCACAAACACATGGGCACCCGGTGCCCATTTACACGTCTAATATGAAGACCGGGAGGCATAATAATAGCCAGACTGGAATTAATTTAATGCTAATGAAATCTCCCCTTCAGCCTGTTTTCTCCCTAGCAGACAAACTGTGCATATATCACCCTCCGAGGAAATGTTCCCTTCTGCTCCTGGCAAGTGCCCAGGCAATGATGAAGGTACTAATAGGGAGGCATGATGCATTGTGGAGACGGTGGAGATGGGCACACTCTGGCTCCTCCCTGTGTGTGTGTGTGTGTGTGTGTGTGTGTGTGTGCGTGTGTGTGTGTGTGTGTGTGTGTGTGTCTGCATGCATGGTCGTGCTGCCGGATGTCCCAAAGGCTGGGTGCCCTTCACGGGTCACCTTCGCTTCCTGATGCCCACACAGAGCTGTTTGCTACCCCTTTGATTGGTGGGGCTGCTGTCGGTGTTAGTTCCTTACTGCTTCTTAACACCAGTGATAGGAAAGGTAAGCAGTAATAAACGCCCCCCCCCCCCCACACACACACACACTCACACACACACACACACACATACACACCCCCCCCCACACACACACACACTGTGTCTGCCTGCCAGGCTCCCTGCACACACCGGGACCGGGATAAGTGTGTGTGTGACAGTCTCGGGTGGCTCAGTGCTGGCTGTTTAACATGAGCGGAGGACCCACTGTACGTCTGGCTGCTGGTGATGGGCAGGGTGACTCTACAGGCCCCAGAAGAGCGACGCTGGTCACAGTCACGCAGTGACAGGGGTCACACACACAGCCTGTTTGGACCTGCGTCTGTCCTTTCCCTCCTGTCTGGAGTAGGTCGGCCTAAGCGTGATTTTCTGTCATCCCGCTTCTGAAGAAGGTGTAGACACTAGAGAACACGCCGAAACTTTTTCAGAGTAACGCCTGCTCTCTGGGAGTGCCGTCCCTCCAGGCATCTCCACTCATCTCCACTCAGCCACCAGCTCTCACTCCAGTCCACCGTGGCCAGTTGCCGCCGACCTGCCTGCCTGCTTGCCTTCGCCCTCTGTGCTGACATTTACGCCACCGAACTGGCCAATCTCCCCTCCTGCTGTGGAGAACTGACAAATGTGGCGATGCATCAGCAGGCCCCTAGGTGAACGCCCATTTCTCCAATGCTGATGTAATCGTCTCTACTATCACTACAGGAACAGCCAATGGCTTCTACAAAAGAACTCATTAGTCCAAGCTTGATTACTGTACTTTGATGAATTCCCAAGTCATTCCAAATGGCAAGTACTTGTGTTACTTAGAATCAGAATGCACCAAAGGGAAGAAGGGGGCATTAAATGTAAATTAGGCTGGACTTAAGAAGTCAGGAGTAGGTTTAGTCTTGTTTCCTCTGGTGGTCTTTAAAATCTGTTGGCTTATTTAAATACTTAAGAGTCACTTCTGGAAAACATTGTCCTCCAATAAAGCTGTGTTTTAAAGTGTTGTCCACGTAGTTAAGATATCCATGTCATTTTAGAACAGGCTTTGCAGTGGACTGCAGTTGCATTACGGTCAGTATTACGAAAGCTGCACTTGGGCTGCCATCATTGAGCCTGTACACAGCTCATTCAGGGTGACATCTTGGACATTTAAGCTTCAAATTGAAATCACGACGCGTTTGGTTTTTCTCCAGTCTCAAATATCTGCTTTTACCATGGACCGTAATCTGATCCGGGGAGATTAAACCTGATGTCATTTTATATTTTCGATCCGAGCACAAAACATATTGCAGCAATTAAGATATCCTTCTGCACAAACAGTACAAGTATGAAATTGACTTTTTCTGTTGTGTTAATCACCCCGAAATTATTTTAATGTCCACAGACTGAAAATGTGAACTTGAAGCTGGAAAGAAAGGGAATAAGATGATTTTTCAGCTTCTCGTTTAATCCTTATGCCTGAATGTTTGCTTTCTAAGGCGGGCCTTTCTGATGCTGCCTGTCGTAGAACTGAGTACCACAGGAATTTGCACAGTGTACCTGCAGCTCTCCAGTGCCTTTATCTATGAATGTAAACAGTCTGTTCACTCTCAAAAGTGCACCCAAGTTTGTGCAAGCGACAGTCACTGCCCTATGCCCCCATAACCCTGTGTGGGCCTAGTCCCGGAATCTGAGTGTCAGAGGCGCCAGGGTTCTGTTGTAAAAGACTCATAAGATCCATAATCACAAAGAGTACACTCCAAGCTCTGAAAAAGAACCAGGAGAACCAGCACTAGGCTCTGGCTGTGGATAAAGCCTTAACGGTCCTATTCCCTAAATGATTGCGTGTTTGTTTCTGTACATGTTTGGTTCACGTAATGGCCGCCTTAACAGTGCAAGTTTTCTTTTGGTACTTTAATCTCGTGTTTAAGTGAAAAGATGCATCCTTTGTAATTTTGCTGATGCTATTGTCCTTTGAGTCAGTTAAGAAGAGCCTCGGATTCCCGTCAGGTAAAAGTAAGCGAAGAAACGGGGATGACATCGTCAGATGAGAAACACAGAGGCATGCGAGCGCGTGGGTCACTCCGGGGTGAGGCTGCCTGCCTCCACGGGTTCAGGAAAAGTTCAGCCGCATAACATTAGGCAAATTAGCGAGGGAAGATGCGGTTTGGGAAAGGGGCGAAGGATTTGGAGTGGGGCTAACGATTTGGAGTGATGGGAATAATGACCAAGGGATGAGGAGCCCGAGACGAAGAGCAAAGCACACGTACGTCATGTTCAAGGTTTCACCCAGAATTATGATAAATGTGCGCATATCACCCTGCCTCGCCAGACTGCATGCACGCATTGCTTGGAGTTGAGCAACCAGCCTTTCATTATTTACGGGCCAGGGGACCGTTTCTGTTATGGATACTACTGTAAATATGACACACAGTTCGCACCTTAAATGCCGTGTTGACCTCGTATAAATGTCGTTTTCTGAGAAAACATAAATGTCACACAGGAACAAAGTTAAACTCTACAGAGGGAAGACGTGCTTCCTTGTTGAACAGCAGTCGTCACGCAATGACGAAATACTATTGGGGTTTCCGATTTGCGTATACTTCTGGCCAGATCTTTCGGCAAAAACAGGACTACGTCGCGAACGCTATTTACTGTAGAATTGCCTCGCGACATTTAAAAGCTTGCCCTGAAGTCTTCGGGACATTTATTGTTTCGTAAAACCCCGTCCGTACAGTTTAAACCGGGAGAATTGACGAACAAACGGACCGGTCACCACCACCGAAGTTAAAATCGGACCTCCGGGATTAAATGCCAATCCCCCCCCCAAACCAGTCTTTGTGGGACCGCCGTCCACGTCGGACATCACAGTGGTGCCGGGTGTATGGTTTGTTTTCGCTGGTTGATCAAATAACTCCTATCGTAGCTTTCCCCCGTTTTCCCCAAGCAAAGAAATAATATGACAAATCAGCCGAGTGTTCCGCTGCGTAGTGAAAAAGATGAGGTTTCTGGAGAAGCCGTGTTTTTATTTTACTCGGCTGTATTATCTCATGTACTTGCAGGTCATCCCATCGATTTTTCTTTCTTTTAAGATAAATCGTTGTCATTGTGTTTATGGAAAATTACATTTAACAGAGCCTCGGGTTTATTCTTTAAATGCAAAATATAGGTAGCCGAACTGTTAGCAGTTTTGGGAGGCATATTTACTCCACGGAGGTGTCTCCCAGTCAGTTTTGCGATGTAAGGTCATAGGTGTGCGCAAGCGTTCATTACTTTGTTAGTAATAACACAGAGGCGACTGCGATGACTGGTGTTTTCAAACCAGCCCGCAAAAACGATCTGCCTATCTCTGTCGGGTAGGCAAAAACACAGGCTACGAATCGCGGGTCTTGTTAAAGGATGGATTTTGCAGATACGAGCCCCGGTCGATACGAACGGGTTAAACCTGAGATGCACTGTGAGAGTGAGTGAGTGTGCCAGAGAGAGAGAGAGAGAGAGAGGGAAAAGAACCGAGGTGGGTGGGGTCTGAGCACAGCTGCTGAGCCTCGTCACAAGCTACAGACCGTGATAGAGACGAAATTGGTGTGGGAAACACGGAAAGACCCCCAAAGAAAAAAAAAACACACGAACGAGGGAATTGATTCTCAAGTACTTTGAACCAGGGATAGGGGAAAAGACTAAACACGTCGCCGTGTAGAGATAAGAGTATCTCATGATTGTAGAATGAAACGACCAGCAGTCTGCCTGTTTGTAGGAAGAAGTGAACTGCGCTACAGAAAAAGCTGTTTGGCCAGCTAACGCAGGAAGGCACATGGGGCTGTTTTCATGACCCCAGACGGCGAATCCGAGCTGAATACTTGTGCACGTTCTGGGATTTTTTTCCGATTTCACAGCATTAATTTCCCACATTTAGTGGGAAACGCTGCTATTCGAAAGTTCTTGTGCAATTGATAATATTTTGCTCACCGACGTACATGGGATTCGCATGGTCTTTTTCTTTTAATATAAGACCAAAAGACTACTGGTACCGCGGGGAATTTATTTTACAAAAGTTACTGCTGTTGAAATTACAAATCAAGATACTGAAGAACGCTAACTCAGTTAAACTCGAGGCGACATGCTGAGAACTGCGATCCGTGTGCATATCTTTCAGATACGACTTTGCTGTTTTTTTCTCAATTTATAGATTCTAGTTTGTTGTCCGGATAACAAGTTGGGATCCACTAAACCAGCTGGATCTGGCTCAGACCCCGCTGAATCCTCTGTCAGTGTACAATATTTTATTTTTCTGTTTTATCGCTGACTCTCAACTTGACCGAAGGGAAATCGCATGTTCTACCTCTACGTTAGATTAATTATAGCAAACGAATCCATCATTAACGTTTAGTTTGTTCAACGCATTTTTATTTTTTCAGAATTTTCCTATTGACAGATTTCCATTGTTTGCATTGGCTCTTATAACCTATGATGTATGAAAGCGTGGACGTCGTGGGATTGAATCCCAGCCCAAACCCTTTTTTAATGATGGATTACTATAATCAGAATCGTGGGTGCTTGATTCAAGAGAAAGGACTTGTGGCCGGAGCATCGCACCCCTACCCAACCTCCATAACCTCTATCAGAAACCAACACTGGAACGGCTCAAATCACTGTAAGTGGCATTTCGCTTGGAAGTTTAACTTTTTCTGGCAAGGTCATGTCTGTTTATACAAGGCGATATTTATTTACACCCGGCCTGTGTTTTAAGGCTGTATCGAAACTTAATGGGCATTATGCGGTCCAATTATCCATAACAACGATAACCATTAATAAAGTCGTTAATTCGTATACGAGATGCAAACGGGGTCAGAACAGTTTGCAGTACTTGTAGTCCGGCAGCAAATGTACGTTGCCAACACAAATTTGGGGCTATGAATTGTATATTGTCTCTCTTCGGCGATTTTGGCCCGTATTTAATAACGCGTTTCCTTTTTGACAATTAGTTTAACCATTTCACAATAACAACATTTTGCACATTTTGTGCTTGAATAGTTACGCAGTCCAAACCCGCATCGTTCGTATCCTCCGGACCGCAAACCCTTTAAGACCAGTTAAGCCACGTTGAAGCCTTAAATGTTAGTCGCTGTAGTAATGGCTGCAAAATAATGGTGGTTTTAATGTGCTGAAACATTGCACAACACAAGACATAGCGACCTAGGCGGTGCTTCAAGTTTATTGTATGTTGACCATTTGCAACATATTGCATCACCTGGGTTTAAAATGACATTTGGAGAGCAGGTCACAGCAAGACCTCCAATGTGACAAGACTACACGCGATTAATTGTACTCGAAGAAAACTGGCCCGGTGTTTCATTTGTATATATATATATTTGAGATGTTTAAATTTTGTGTGGTTTTCAAGCAACGTGGATTGATAATAAAACCACACGCCGCCCCTCCTGTTGCCTCAGCTTGTGCGTAAGCCATACTGCTTTACTGTATACCGACGCGAAATAATGTATAACTCGTGATGACCGTGTCTTTGGAAATGTTTGATACGATAAAAGGTATAGTGGATTTTTTTTTTGTTTGATGCTAATTTACCGTAGCGATTTACAGTTATGCTCCCTTACTGAAACCTTTAAATGGCAGAGATTCGGGTTCTGTTGTTGGAACATTTGTAAATGCATGCTAATCATCCTCTTTGTTAATTTTGTGTTAAATCGATTCATATGGCTGACATTACATATAGCCTAAGGTGAAACTGAAGGAATGATTATTTGATTGGAGTAGGATGGATAGAACGGAGGCGACCCCTTAGCCTTGCATTACGCGATATTTAAATGTAACAGGCACTTACACTGCTATAGCTAATTTTTACCTCATTGACACGTCAGAGTGCAGGAGTTGCCGGTGTTGCTAAGTCGTGAAATAAACAGGGGTTAATTGCAATTAAGAGGGCAGCGTTTTGTCCTAAAGCCGTAGGTATGTACTGCAGATATGTTATCAGGTATTGCGACGTTTCAGGCGATCATAATGCGTCCGCCCTTTAAATGTGCGAGCGTCCTACGTAATGAGGCACTGCTTTGGGGGGTTTTCTTTTTGACCGGTAAGGCCGTAATAGCATTCGCCGGACATAGGGAGTTTATAGGCTGCTGCAGCCGTCGCGCGTCGAAAGGGACGATGTGGAGGTGTCTCCCGAGCCGCAGCAAGTGGAAAGAATTTCTTTCTGGCTCGGCGTTTTTCTTTCTATAGCAACTGTTTAGGGTAGAAGTGGTATTATTATTAAACTTAAATGTTTATAGCCCGTGTACATGTAGCGACCTGCTATTTTATTCTAAATTAAGTTTAAATAAGCATCTGAGGATTATGTTTTTATTATTCGTTATTTTCACGCGAGCCTAGTCTTATTTTACTCAACAACCATATTTTTACAGAAATGTCCTAATTAAATGTAATATCCGTCATACGACGAAAATAGCCGACGTTTATTTCCACGATATCTGAAATAGGGGTCGCCTGAATTTTTGGTTTCCTTTCGTAGGCTGTTCCTTACGCGGATTTCAGTTTTCCTGTAGTATGATTTCTGTTTCGTAGTGCGTGGGAAAATGTAGAAATCAGATTTCATCGCTGAATCTGAATGTGTGTAAATGCAATTTTTTACGCATACCCTGTGCCAAAATTTCAGAATGAGAGGAGTGAAGGATCCACGTGGTTCTTATAAATACAAGTTAAGCGTGGTATCTGGTGTGTATAACGAAGAACATTTGGAGAAAAATGACCGAAATGCCTGAAAATGAAAATGCGTCACATAAACCTACCATTTCTTAGCAAGGCACAGGACGTCAGTCATAAATAAAACCACAATATACGGGGGACTGTTGAATCGTTAATTAGGGAAGACTTTCATTTGTTAATAGCTATAATGAGATTTTTTTTTGCAGCAGATGACTAATTAATCAATGGTATACTTTATATAGCGCATTTGAGGAATCGTCCACATATGTGTAATTTAGCATAGCTTCTTTAAAGATTCTTATAAAGAAATACATAATGCGTCTACTACTCATCTTTTGTTAATAATAATAATAATAATAATAATAATACTTTTGCTTGTTTGCAGTTGATCCAGTATGTTTAATGAATCATTCATATGTCAGCCAATGAAACGCCACTTCGGGCATTTTTTCTGAGCACAGCACCATCCTGGATGATGCCTGCGTGTAGCTGACTGGACTGTCTGCTGTGTATCTGTCATCACTAGACACAGTTTGCCTGTATGTGTGTGACTGGCTTATCATACACGTATTTTCACTTGCACAGAGCGGAAAGTGCCATACTTAGGAAACGATTCGTCCAGCATTAAACATGCTTTCTTTAAGAAGTAACTGAAGGATGACCTCAACGCGCGAGTTCATCCCTGTCCTGGCAATGAACCGCAAGCCTAGCATTTAGCTTAAAAAAGGTTAACTAAAAAAAGAAAAATGTCGGTGAGTGAAGTGGCTGTTGCCAATTTCTAGCTGCTTATCATAAACGCTGAATTTAGAAGAGGACGAGAAGATCCCTAGGGATAGTTTAGCGCGTGCGGGCCTCCCGTTTGGTGTGGATCGGCGTTTAGGGGCTGCCTGTGTGTTGCTTGACGGCTTCATTACAGGGATGCCGTGAGAGATCTGCCAGCCAGCTGCTCCTGCTCCCAATCCTAAAGGTTTTTGTTCGGTGGCTGCTTTCCGAAGATCTTTTTCTGGTCATGTTTCCGCTGCGGTAAAATTGCAAAGGACGGCGTTGCTGGGTCTTGCCGACTGAATGGCCCTCGGCTCCTACTGTTCCCACATGGGCCGATGTGCGCTCCTCACCCCCCACCCCCACCCCCCAGTCCCTGCTCACAACACCTTCGCCCTTCCCATGCCTCCCTGAACGGAAACCGGCGCTTTGACATGCAAAACTAAAGTCGGTAATTTGAGTAGGAGATCCCCTGGGCTCCTCGGCGATCTGCGCTTTAAGAAACCCAGTGAAACGCAGCAGAACTCGTCCCAGATTCCCGTCAGCGCTCCGCACGTACTTATTTCACGTAATCCCTCTACCCGCTGCAGCACATTTCACTGCTTAAGTGTTTGTGCCGTTTCGGGTTCCAGCCTTGTAGCAGTATATCGCTGCATTGAATCTGAAACACTAGAGAACGCATACGGCGAGCCAGCATTGTGGAGGACGTTTGAGGGATCTGTCGTGGTTCGCAGTGCCCACTCGAAGCCCCCTTTGGTTTGGCTTGGATTCCTTGGCCTTTATTTGGGCTATGTGGAATCTGTTGTTCCTGGCGTCTCGGTCGATCCGTAGCTTTAGAATTCTGTTTTCGGTCCTTAAAAGGAGCAAACCTAAAAGTGACAAACTCCATCCGATTTCCCACAATGACCCGAATGCTTTTACTCACTGACAATTTCTTTGTAGAAAAGAAGGTTTCTTACGTTGACATGGCAGCCAGGCGTATTGGGTGAATGCGAGCCTTGGCATAGATCCGCTTAGTTGTTGTTGTTGATGGGACGGTCCTGTGATTCACTGAGTGGTGGTGGAAGATCTGATGCTGCAGGGGGTGATGCCTCTCCCAGTGCTGTGATCTTGGGCATGTCCTCGGCTGACACTGCCGTGCCCTGTGGAACCTGGGCATCATCCTCTCACCTCTGACTCCCGGGCCCTTGGGAGGGGTGGGCCGCTCCTCTGGTCGAGGCTGCTTTTGAGGTCATTTGCCTTCTGCGAACTGCTCCGTCAAGTTGGCTGCACGTTGGATGTGTTCAGCCAAACGTGGGAGTGTAAATTGCCCGTTTGTCCTTAGCTGGCTCTTGGAGCTTGGGGGCGGGGGCTGCTGGTTCTCCACTCTTCCTGCATGCATCCCCAGCCATTGCAGCCAGCCTACCTGATAGAGCCAATTAAAGGCATAACACTAGTTAATTAAATTGTTGCTGCTTTAATAGAATAAATGTGTGGATTGGCTTGTGGTGCGTGCAGGCATCTCTGGGGTATGGACTTTCTAGATTCATTCTGTTTTGGTGGTTTACAATCTGGCACTCATTTGAGCAGTGTTGCAAAAACCCGTATGTCAGTTTAAAAGAGGAAAAACAAATTTGACCAAAAGGTCTTTCTGCTAGTCTGCGTTTAACCCCCTCTCTTGAACCGTGGACCCATACACTGTGCCTCTCTCGCAGTGAGCAGGGACGCTGAGCCCTGCTAATCGCCCGATATTCAAAGGTTTGTTACTGGGAGCCTAATCTGACTCATGTGGTGTTTAACTGCGGAAGTCCTTTCCGAAAAACAGATGTTGTTTTATTGTTTCCCATGCAAAGCGGCAGTTCTGCTGGATGTAGTATGTGGTGGTGGTGGTGGTGGTAGGTGGTGGGGGGGCAGTTCCAGTCTGTTGGCTAAGTGTAAACTTCTGTGGTTTGCTGGGCTGGAGGCCGTGGAGAGGCACTGGGCGCGGCGCGGTGTGGCGAGGCCTCCGGGAACAGCCCGTGCTGCCTCGTGCTACATGGAAACTGCGGCCTCCTTGGTTTGGATTCGGCCGGCGCCAGCCGCATGCTGCACCATCCCCCCCCCTGCCCCCACCCTCTATCCTTGGATATTACTCCTGCTCTTGAATACCGGATTTTCCTGGCAATGTACGGATCCTGAAACAGGAAGTGGCGC